TAAATATCGTTCTCGTCCGCTGGCGACGATCGCATATGATTTATCAGCTAACAGGGATAAATGTGTGTATGCATGTGTGTGTGATCTTCAAGAGCGAGAGATAATCGAAAGTATGTGTGTGTATGTGAAAATCGACGAGAGCATGGCCAACGTATGTATATCGGTCAAGAGCTCGGATCGAGCTACGGAAAAAAGTTATGTATCGAGTACAGGGAACGAAGCGGAAGAAAAGGAGAAGAACGGCGACGACGCAACTCGCCCCAACTGACACTCTCGTGTTCCGTTCCCTTTTTTGTTTCTTTTGTTTTGCATAACCTCAGATGTAACACGCGACTAAAGGGATCTTTTTTTTGTTGTTGTTTTCTTTTAGTTCGTTATTTCGAGATATAGGGACAAACGACTCTCTCTCTTGTCAGACGTTGAAGGCAGACGGAGAATGCTGTGTTGTTAACGTTCCTTCTCTCTCGCGATAGAAAGCTTTTAAGGGGGAATTAATTTTGCTTATACAGTATATTCTCCACAAGTGTCTGACCGCAAGGAAGCTAAACCTGACACTCGTAGAGTCACGGACTACGTTTTCGAGCCTCGCGCCCGCCTTTGTAGTTTGCCGAACGTAGACAAGGACAGCGAATAAAAGATAAGCATGAAACGTGAGTCGAGGCAACCAAGCGACTTAAATATCAACTTTTTTAAATTTTCTGATGAAAATGACATAAAACACGACATAATTTGAACAACATTTACTTATTAACACGTTCATTGTCACCCCAGATTTACAGGTTGCTGTCAGGCGGCCACAAGAAAATACATTTCAATATTTTATTCGAAGCGGAGTATTCCAAGTCAGTATCGATAATTGAAGAAATTATTTGATTGTATTTAAAAGAACCGAAAGGAGAATATTTAAAGTCTGATATTAAATGTCTAGCAAGTACCAGTAATTGGTAAAATGATTTATATTTGTTTTAAAAGGAAAATTTCTAATAGGTATTAGTTAAAATGAATTGTTATTCAGTCTATTGTATTGAAATTCTAATTGATTCTAATGTATACAAGTGTTACAAGAAGGCTGAGTGTGTACAGGGTGGACATAGGCTAGCTAGTAACCCCCGACCACTCTATGAACTTTAACGTCTATACTCGAAAGTGTATCGTCAACACTAACACGTTACCCAGATTATCCAAAAATTGAAGAAGTTACTTTTAAAATTGAACATTCTACGGTGTTTCGAGAGATTTGATAATCATAGTCGAACCTT